GACACGCTCCTCGCCAAATTCAGTTCCGCCCCATCCCACTCCAAAGATAAAGAAGCCACCGTCCCGACCAGTGACAACGACGCGGACGACGAGCCCGCCATGCCGACCTCGAACGTCGACCTCGACGACCCGCTTTACACGATCAACCCGCTCACGGGCTTCCTCTGCGACCGGTCTTCCGGCGAGCGCATCATGGACCCGGAGATCCTCCACTCGGAGGCCATGCTCGGCCAAGTCATTACGTACGTGCACACGCGCATGGAAGACGAGCTCGGCTTCGTCGCTCAGTCGATTCCGTATGTGGGCGCGCCAACGTCCTGCGAATTTTACACGTCGCGCAACTGGTCCGTGGCCGAGAAGCTCCTCGTTTTCGTGTGCAGCTCCCGCGGGGCGACGTCCGGCGTCTGGAGCCGGAGTCTTCTCCTCCGCTCCGGTGTCAATGTCGGGAGCATGCTGCCGTACTTTGCCAAGGCCATCGAGAAGGGCTATGGCGTCATTGTCATGAACCCGAACGTCAACACTGTGCTTCAACCCGACGGCTACAAGGTCGCAATCCCCGGCTCCGAGACGCCGGAAGAGCATGTGCAGTTTGTGTGGGAGCACTACATCTTTCCGTCGGCGGCCCACAAGATTCACTTCCTCGGCTACGGCTACGGTGGCGTGCTCATCCACAAGTTTATCTTCAACCCCGACATCATGTACAACCTCCAGGCGCGCCTTGGGAACCTCGGGTTCCTCGAGTGCCAAACCACCGAGAAGTGCCCGTCCGAGCTGCAGGCGTTTGTCTCGTCGCGCTCCGTGTGCTGGGAAGCGTCCGAGACCATACCGTTTGGCCACGAGATCGGCCAGGGCTACTTTGGCCTCAGTCTCTCGGCCGGCCCGCGCTCGTCCAACACAATCACGCAAACTGTCCTCTCGTCCGTCTTTCGCTTCCTCGATGCCCCGAGTGCATTCGAATTCCAGCGCGCCGAGCTTCGCTGGCGTAACGTCAACGTCGTGACCAAGTTTTTACAAGCCAAGGAGGAGTCGTCTTCGAGCAAGCCGAAGCGGGAGCCCATGACCATTGACGACTTTGAGCTCCTTCAAGTGCTTGGGAAGGGTGCGTTTGGCAAGGTCATTCTGGTCCGGAAGCGCGTCGGTGGCGGCATTTACGCTGTCAAGGTACTCAAGAAGCAACACGTCGTCGCCAAGAACCAAGTCGAGCACACCAAGACCGAACGCAAAGTCCTCCAAGACATTGACCACCCGTTCGTCGTGCGTCTTCGGTACGCGTTCCAGAACGCCGGCAAGCTGTACCTTGTCATGGACTACTACTCTGGCGGCACCCTCTTCCAGCTCCTCCGCACCCAGCGGCACTTCAAAGAGCATCAAGCGAAGCTCTACGGCGCCCAACTCGTCCTCGCGCTCACGCACCTGCACACGCTGCACATTGTGTACCGAGACTTGAAGCTTGAAAACATCTTGATGGATGGCGACGGCTTTATCGCGCTTGCCGACTTTGGCTTGAGCCGCGAGCACGTCAAGGCCGCGGACGACGCTACGACGTTCTGCGGTACGCCCGAATACCTCGCACCCGAGATCCTCCAGCGCAAGAGCTACGGCAAAGCGGTCGACTGGTGGAGCTTTGGTGTCGTCATGTTCGAGATGCTCAGCGGTTCGACCCCGTTCTACCACCCGAACCGCAAGCAGAATTTCCACAACATTTTACACGAGCGCCTCGACGTGAGCTCCAAACATTTTTCCGACGACGCGCGCTCGCTGCTCCGTGGTCTCATGACGCGCGACCCGAGCATGCGTCTCGGCTTCCGCGGCGGGAAAGAGATCATGGCGCACCCCTTCTTTGCGGACGTCCAGTGGGAAAAGCTGTATCGTCGCCAAATCCGCCCGCCCTTCGTGCCGCGAGCCAATGCTACGACTGGCAGCCGCCTGGACAAGCTCACGGTCGAGTCAGTCGTGAACGACGCGGCTTTTCCGGGTGCCGAGACCTTTGCCGATTTCACGTACCGCCAAACCGACAACTTTAGTGATGCGTAGACCAGTTTGTCGTGTATTTAATGGAATTCCTGTTGCCATAATGTTGTCCACGTCGGTGCCAACAACTGGCAACGCTTCACGTTCATATATTTGCATCAGAGCGCCAGAGAATCTCTATTTGGCAAATTCTGCGTTTTTCCAGCCGTTCCGCAAGCGAAACCAACCGACGAGTGGCCGCATCCTCAGAGGCGCGGCCGTCGGTCATTCAGGCCGCGGCAGAAGGAGGCCTTGTCAGATGACGCCTTCGCCTGCTGCGAGCCGCGCCATCAGATCAAGCGACGCTGAGCGATGAGGAACTCATCGCCACGCTGTACAAGACGACGTATCCGAGGAAGACGACGGACGACATGCTCCAGCCAGCCAGCAACAAAAACAACGGTCAGGGGGACCACAAGCAACATCAGATCCAACACAGAACCAATATGAGCACAGAGCACAGAGCACAGAGCACAGAGCACAGAGCACAGAGCACAGAGCACAGAGCACAGAGCACAAATCAGCCAGCAGCCACCGCCAACGCCATCAGCCATCTACCTGCAGCAGCAAGATCCATATCATCCGACCCCGAAACCCAAGACATCGACCCAAACAAAGAAACCGAATCCAACGCGCCACGCCGCCAAAACGAAAACAAATTCATCCAGCCAACCGCCCAGCTCCACGCCTCCAGAACGAAAACAAGTCAACAAGCCCAGCGCCAAAACGAAAACACTTTCATGCACGACGACCGACCAAGACGCCAAAACTAAATAACTCGACCAGAGTCGGCACCACGAGCCTTCATCACAAGCATTCAATCTACATCAACAGCAGACCACTCGACATTTCGCGTCGGTCGCCAAGCCAACGACTTCCATCAGCCCGCGTGTTCTAGTGAGCCATCCGTGTACCTTCGGGTGCTGCAGCTCCAGGTCGGCCCTCGGTCGCATCCAAGTGGAACTCCGCAACACGGGTCTGGCTCATGACCGCGAACGCTGCTGGTCGATCAAGTAGCTTGATGATAGACCACGTAGAAAAATAAACCCATAGTGGTAACCCCGGTAATACACCGCCTGACAAAAGAATCTCTATTTGGCAATTTGGATTCCTGACGTCAACCGCTCAACCGAGGACCTTCATTCTCTCACGAGCGCAATGTCCAAGAAGGCCAAGAGCGACACGACGACGACGAGCCACGCTGGCGCGGCCTGCCTCGAGATCGCCGACGTGTGCAAGGTCATCCTTGGGTGCTGCTCCTTGGAGGCGGCAGTGCGACTGAGCTCCGTCGTCCTCAGTAACGTTGGCACGCGAGCGGTCGCCGAGGACGTCGACGTCTGGGCGAACCTCGTTTCTGCGAGCTTTGGCTATCGCCGCCACTTTCCCGCTGCGAGTCCATGCCCTATCGGAAGTGTCCCCGTCCCCACGCCGGGTTTTGCGCCGTCCTCCGCGTGCATTGAGTTTTGCGAGACGGCAGTCGAGTGGGGCATCTTGCAACGCGCTCGCATTATCCAGGGCAACATTGAGACGATCACAGACGTCAATGGTCAGCCCGTCGACTGCCTCGTGTTCCCCACGAATGCGTCGCTTCAAAACGCGGGCACTGGCGCCGCTGCTGCTGTGTTTCGGCGTGCAGGCCCCGCGCTTGACGCGCATGTTGCCCGCTTGCACATGAATGCCCGCGAATCAACCGCTGTCGTGACGCCAGCATTCGCGGCTGGCGTTGAGCACCTTGTGCACTGCGTCGGGCCGTCGCACCACCGCTTCGACTGCAATCCTCTCTTGTACCACACGTATCTGAACGCGTTTGAGCACTGTCGGCGTCTTGGCGTCACGTGCATCGCTGTCGCGTCCATTTCGACGGGCACGCTAGGGTTCCCGCTGCAGACGGCAACGACTCTCGCGCTGCGTGCGTACCGTGACTTTGTCAAGACGCATCGATGGCGCGCGACAATCGCCTTTGTGTGCTATGACGCGCAGGTCGCCGCGGGCCTTGAAGGAGCTAAGAACGAGCTCTTGGATCGCTTCAATGCACACGCGTTTCAAGTCATGGCGGTCGTTTAACTCCCCACAATACATGCTGGCGAGAAAGCCAGGGGCGCCGAATAGAATGTGCGAAGTGAAGAGTGACTATGGAACATTCATGAACATGTAAACAGTCATGCTTCGTCCGCAGCGGTGCTTGAACGACGGTTGTGCTGCAACTGTACAACGAGACCTCGCTCGCTTCACTGAAATCAACAATCAGCGAATCAGTGGTGTGAGTAAGCCTTGGCGATTCCAGCTGGTGAGGGCGGCGGTACCTTTTGCAATTCTGTGCATTTGGTCCTCAATCTGACAAGCTCGGATTCACAACGAGTCGATAAGGATTCTGTGTGTACAAAGGCAGTCGCGATAAGGACAAGACAAAAGAATTCCTAGACTTGCATTCCTTGTTAGGCAAACACACCGGCCTTGGCGAGGTCGACGGGCTTGACCCAATAAACATTCCTGCATTTCGAGTTGGTCACAATAGCAGTGTGTTTACGCCTTGAACTGGTTGCGCTTGGTCTTGAGGACCGACTTCTTGAGCACACCCTTCTCGATCTTGGCGACGCGGTTGAGCTGCGTCCAGCGAGCGAGGGCGGCGCGCTTGAGGTCACCACGGTAGAAGTTGCGCGAGATTTCGGCGCGGATCGTGTGGGCGTTGGCGCGGAAACCCTTGTTGAGCGGCACCGAGTGGGTGGCCTTGGCAGGGGTCTTGGCGGCCTTGGCGATCTTCGTCGTCAAGACAATCTTCTTGTCCTTAAGCGTGATGCCGACGGCCTTGTTGGCCGAGAGGGCATCGTACTTGCGGCAGTGGCGGTTCAACAAGTTGAACGAGGCACGCGAGAAGTCCGAGTTGGGCTGGACACCCTTCACGAGGAAGGCGTTGTTGTTCTTGGTCAACAACCAGGTCAAGGTGTCGTTGCTCATCTACGGAAATATCGGCGTCAATGATCCATGTCCTATTGTCGTGCAGCCTGCTTGTGGCGCCGCTTCCGAGGCCGGAGGCACTCCGCTGCTTATCAGGAGGAGGTCGTGCCCATACTCCTGCCCGGAAGCGTCGTCCATGTCGTCGGTCCTGCATGTGCATGAAGCATGTCTCCTTACCTTAGTTTCTTGTCTTGAGGAAATGCAAACCCAAATTAAGCTCCGGAAGGCCGTGGCCAACTTCGCAGCCAGCCAACCAGTCTCCTCTCCACCAATAATTGTGCCAAATTCCAAGTAGCCAATCACGGCGCGTTTTTTATTCCCAGACTCCAAGCTCAAATTAATATTCGTTTTTTATTTCAATCCAGACATTTTAATCAAGAAGTTTCGTAACCGTGTCAGCTGAAGAAAGAACACAAATAGTTATATTATTTCAATCCAACTTTGAATTAAAATTTGGCGTACCTGTGCCGGATTGGCTCATTGTGGTGAGAGACCGTGAATATCGATATATTGAGCTTTATGCAAATGATACAGTGTCACGGGTACGTGTTCCTGGAGGTTTACAACGGGCCATTGGTTTGCCGCGAAGGCACGTGCCGTGATTGGCCCCGCGCAACGAACAGCAACATTCGAAGGAGCAACAGCGCTTGGAACAGCCTAGAAGACGAGGTGCCAACCTTCAGCGCGGTATATCCTATGTGTCGTCAGCAGCAACGTTGACACCAATTGAGCAGCCCGTATTGCGCCCTCTCTGTTGTGGCAAAGGACGTGGGATGTAAGCGTACTCTTCACAGCGCATCACGCGTCATGACGGTTAGTTCAATGATGACGCAACAACCAACCTCCTGTAATTTGGTGCTGTGAGCTAGTGCCCGTACATAAGACTCCACAGTAAGTAACTCATTTTGCTTGTATAATGTGAGCGCCGAGCAGGGCGCGTCGTCTGAGGTGAAAGCAATGAACGCGTCGCATTTCTTGGCAGAGCAACTTTTTAAGCGCAAGACGGCGCTTGGTCGAAAGGATACGAAATCATGCGCGCTGATTGGCTAACGCATCCTTTGGAACATCGTTTGTTTACGCTTCGGTTTTTCGCGGGCGGCGAGCGAAGATCATTTTCCATCTTCCACGATCCCCGCCACCAGCATGAGCCAGCCTGCTGTCAAGGTCAATGCGACGGAGGTCGCCGCGCCTTTCTCGGCCGCCATGAAGGAGTACGTCCGCACGGAGCTGCGTGGCATCGGCCCCAAGCTCGTCGGTTTCCTCGCCAATGACGACGAATCGGCACGCAAGTACGCCGAGTGGACGGGCAAGGCCTGCGTCCGCGATGGCATCCGGTACGAGCTTCGCGAGGTGCCAAAGGAGCGTCTCCAGGAAGCTGTCGAGGACGCCAACCGAGACCCAGAAGTGCACGGCATCCTTGTCTACTACCCGTGCTTTGGCACGTTTCCGAGCTTCTACGGCGGCACGATGGATGATTTCATCCGGGACTCGATTTCGATCAAGAAGGACGTCGAGGGCCTTTGCCAGTACTACCGCGGCAACCTCTACCGCAACATCCGCTACGTGGACGACGAGCGCACGCAAAAGTGCGTCCTGCCCTGCACGCCGCTTGCGATCGTCAAGATCCTCGAGCACCTCAACGTGTACAACTTTGGCCAGCCCGAGGGCGAGCACTTGCTCGGCAAGCGCATCACGATCATCAACCGCAGCGACATTGTGGGCCGCCCACTCGCAGCCATGCTTGCCAACGACGGCGCCGACGTCTACTCAGTCGACATCAACTCTCTCTACCTCTTCCGCCGCGGCAAGCTCATCGAGTGCAGTGAGACGCCGGCCGAAGCTGCTAAGAAGTCGCATGTGATCATCACGGGCGTGCCTGTCGCGTCGTACAAGCTGCCGCTGGAGTGGGTCTCGGAAGGCACGGTCATCATCAACGTCGCGTCGCACAAGAACGTGGACGAGGCCGCTCTCATGCAGATCCCCGGCGTCAAGTACGTGCCGCTTGTCGGCAAGGTCACGGTTGCGATGCTCGAGCGCAACCTCATGCGCTTGTATGAGAACTTTCACATGAAGCCTCGCAAAATGTGGCAGTAAGGAGAACTAATAGATGAATTTTTACGAGGAAAAACCAACGTCACTGTGTTATCCCAAATACCGCGTACGTTGTAGTCACCACGTACCTTCGTAACATCTGCTTCCACGATTTTGCTGCAGCAGTTCATTGCGCCATGCACTGCGACTTGCCAATGTGCAATCGACTACGACTAATATTAAAGAGAGGACGGATCTAACACTTACACGACGCGGTCGGCTGTTCAAAAGCGTATCATCCTATCGTCACAACAAGGGCGTATCGTCTAGGCTAGGTTGGAGCTACGACCGTGCTTGTTGTAGCGCTCCAGGAGCTTTGCCTTACACACAAAGGCCACGGTTGCACGCCACCGGCACGTCTTGACAAAGTCGCGGTACGCGCGCAGCGCCTGTCTCGCAGCACAAGTTGCGGGAAAGCCGAGCGAGCCGGTTGAAATAGACGCAATGGCCAAGCACGAGACGTTCAAGGACAGACAATGCTGGAACGCCTTGATGCACGTCGCATACAGCACCTCGTCAGCATTCACAGCGTGTATCGATGGACCACAACAATGTACAAGGTGCATGACGTTGGCGCCGAATCCAGGCGTGACGACGGCGTTTGCTGTGCTACTGCCTGTACAAGTGTAAAGTGCAGGCGCGCGATATGGTCGTCGAGTTCGGGACCAGCGCGATGAAAGACAGCCGCAGCCGCGCCAAGTCCGTGGTTCTTCAACGACG